TGAATCTGATCCGCACTTCACAAGTGGAACTGTCTCAGATGGCGAACAGTATTTTTCACCATTATCTAAAATGAGATCCACCACATCATTATCTTTATAGTATGGGAAGCATTCAAATACATCTGAGAGAGAAAACTCCTCCTCAATCTCCCAACAGAATGAAGTAGAATACCCGATAGATTTCATATCCGAAAAATCGGTAGTTCGTACCCAGAGGAAATCGAAATCATCCTTGCATACGTGATACCGATCAGTGCTAAATCTGGCAGCTACATTAGGTCCAGAAATTTTACGAAAGATCCTCGGACCAAACTTGAGCTGATAAATTCAAAATGCTTTGTGTTAACATATTATCCGAATCACACTAATACCAGTAACTCTTAAACAAACCATACAAAAGCAGCAATACAACAAAAAAATAACTAAAGACTTCAACTTTCTCTCATTGTAAACAAAAAAACCCAAAAGAAACAAACAGCAGGCATCAAACCCAGAAGAGAGAGAGAGAAAGAGAGAGAGAGGGGGAGAAACAGTTACCTTCAAGAGAAGGGCATTCACTTTCTCTCCACCCAAACGGCACCCGAACGACTCCATAATATTCTCAAATGCAATCTCCAGTTTATAACACTCGTCTCTCAGCCAGACCCAGAACTCGACCCGCTTCCTCTCGGGCATGACCCAAGCTCTCACGCCCTCCCAAGACTCCAACATGCTCATGCAGTCGCCCTTTACCATAAAACCCGCATGCAAAACGGTGCCGTTCAGTCGGCGTTTTGGGTCCACCGGCCGTTGGATGATGTCGTCGTAGGTCTCGGAAAGTCTTCTGATTTGGCCTCATGGTTCGTGAACTGGACGCGACCGAAGCCTCGTGACTTCCAGTTCTTGTGATCGCTGATGATTTCGACGGCGAAGACTGAGTCAGGCCCGAGTTTTGACTCGAGGAAGCTTAGGAGCTCTTTGGCTGTCACTGTTTGGGGAATGTTCGAGACTCGGACAGTCGGTCTCTCTGCCACCGCCATTTTCAGAGAGAGAGAGAGACAGACTGTCGGACTGAGACAGTGTCTGTGATGGAGAAAGTAGAGTGAAAAAGGAAGAGGAAAGGAGAGGGAGGAAGAAAAGAAAACGACGACCCGTTTTTGCCGAGGAACCTAAAAACCAACTGGGTTTCCAAGTCTAAGGTCATCTTTTGTTTTGGTGCTATGAGAGCCCAAACAAACTAAAAGCAAGCACCTTTAGCCCAAACCCAAATTTTGATCATATATGGTGAGCCCATTATTGTTTCCCAAAAAGCTAGTTTGCTTCTCGTGATCTTTTGATAAAGTGCTTTGTTCATCACGATGAGATTGCTGCATAATGAAGGAAAGTAGAAAAGGGCTCTTATCATTTGTCCCTTCCTTGTTGTGTTTGATACTTTGATTATGCTCTTTTCTGCATGTTTCTTGCTTATGAAGAACCCAAAGTAAACGGCTCTTGCTTTCAAAAAGAAACGCTTATGTGGGTTTAGTTTTCAGATCATAATTCCCATTTTCTTTATACAAATTTATAAATAAACTCAATTCTAGACATGTATTTATAAAAAAACTCAAACACTATTTAAACATAGAAACACACCCAAAATCAACCCCAAAGTTAACAATTATATATTTTTTGGGTGTGTTTATAAATGAGTTTTGAGTGTGTGTAATGATGAATTTTGGGTGTGTTTATAAAGTGTTTTGGGTGTTGGATTTTTTTATAATTTCAGCTTACATTTTGGGTGTTTTAGTGAAACCCCCTTTTCTTTATCTGGTCTGGACATTGCTGGACATAGCTCTTGCTAAATTGAACTTACAAGTAATTAAGCATCCGTGTGTACAATGAAAAAGAAAGTAAAAGGCATAACTTCTAAGCTTAATTTTCAGTCATACATAACATACACTAATTATACAGCTCATGTTTCATCTGATTGGAGAACTTAATCTAAAAGGAGGTACACCAGTATGAGCATTCGAAGAACCTGGGAATCGGTTTTTCGAGGACCAAAGCCAGATCTTTGAAACAGAGAAGCTCTCACCCTTATGCCGGCCACTGATTTTCTTCCCCTCCAGATTCCCATTAACTGTGAAGTTCCCATTATGAACTCCCTCTTTGACAAGCTTGGCATCACTATCTCCACCACAATCATGGGACAAGGCCACTTGCAGATTTGAGTCACCAACCACATATTGATATGTACCCATTGAGTAACATCTCCTAGCATCCAAATTACAGCTACTGGTTTCTCCCACTCTCGCCCCACTTTCTACTCCTTCATTTAAGCTTCTGAACTTTCCAAGTCTTACAGAAAATACCCTCTTTTCACCAGCAGCTTCCTCCATAGTTAAATGTTTCTGACCACTTGAACACATGTTCTCTCCCTCACTAACGAACCTATTTGACATTTCCCTAGCATCATCAAAATTGAACACTGGATTTTCCAAGAAAAACCCAGAGCTCAAAAGGGTCCCTCTACAAAGGGGGCATGTTGAATTTGAGAGGAGCCAAGTGTCAATACAATCAATGTGAAAAGCATGACCACAGTTAGGGAGCAATCTCAACTTGTCCTGGTCAGAAAATTCACAGAGACAAACAGCACAATCAAATGGCTCTTTTGAACCAATAATGTCTTTGCAGTAGAACACAGGTAGAGAATCAATGGCAGTTTGATCTAGGCCCGCGTCATGTAACCGAAAGAGCTGTTGAAGCTGCCTTTGAATAGCACGAGACCCAGAGGTTTCTGGGTATCTATTGGATTGAAAGATTGAGGAAGATGACCTCTTTATGAAAAATCTTACAAGCAAATGAACAAGGCCAGAGATGAAAAAGATAACAGCTAGAATTATTATAACCAACAGAAGTACTGGACTGATATTGCTAAGAGATGATGATGATGATGATGATGAAGAAGGGGATAATTCCTGTCCATTGTTAACGCTAACAGAAGGAACTGAAAATGAGGAAGGTGGTGGGTATACCAAATTACCATCTTTCTGGTTCAACCCACAGAGAATTCTAGACATTTTAGGAGATGGGTATTGCTCAAAAGCAACTATTTTTACCAGGTTTTCTCAGATTTAGACACTAAATTCCTCAACAAAGTGCACAATTTTAGAAGACACTATAAACTTGCTTTGAGAATACAACAGAAGAAAGGGTGAGCAAGCTAAAATGCAGAATTAAGAATGTAATGCTAAGGTGAGAAACCTAATCAGATTAAGTACTCATATATGTGAACAAAAAGATTTTCCTTGTGGAAAATTGAGATATTAAAAATGGGTTCTTGAAGAATCATGTAGCTGGTAAAATTGCAAAGGACCTACCTTGAGATATGGAGGGTGCGAATGGAACCATAGCTAGAATTGGAGGAGACCGTCCGGTTTGAATTCTTTTTGCACCACAGAAGAAGTAGCAGAAGAAAGATTTTTAATTCTGTTTGTGTTTTGATATATACAGAAGGGTCAGGGTAGCTTATAGACTGGAAGAAACAACTACGAACTGTGGAGATTGGAGAGTGAGAAAAGGCCAAGGGGGAGTTCTTTTGAGCCCATTGCGATAACAAAAAGACCCTCCAATTTGAACTATTTTAATGGGCCCAGAGCAAGCAGTTTTGCAGAAGGCACACGTTGCTGAGGTGATGAGGGATCACAATCACAGCTTTTGTCATCAACTATAAATGTAGTGTACCAAACCAGACAAGTCTAAAAAACTAAGTCATGTGGGATTAGACGTATGTTACAAATCTAATTAAAAATTGAAAAGCTGGGGGAGGGCCACCACCCAGTTTTGATTGTCCAAAGTGGTCAGTGTGACTTATTTTTCATCAAAACAAGTAAACAAAATGATCATCTGTCAATGATGATATATCCTATGCCATTCCCTGCTAATCAGGCAATTTCCCATCAATCCTGGCAATTTTCCAGATTAATGGTCAAGTGGGTAAGTGGCAGAATTGGTAGAAAGTTATGTGTCCATTGCAAATCTCCCAACCTACCCTACTGTATTTTGGGTCTGAGCCAGAGTGAGTGACCAAACCAAACAGGCTTTGGATCTGATGACAGAAAAAGAAATCTCAAAGGGGTGGACAAAAGCAGATGGTAGGGTCACATTTGCTTTTCCTTGCACGTATAGCACCAAATCGTATCCATAATTGCACCCACTGAAAACAGGTGATTATAACTAATCATGTTTTTTGGTATTTCTCTAATGGTTTGACAATTCTGTCTGATGTTAGTTGATAACTAACCAGCAAACCAGTCAGAGAGTTTTGTTGTGCATTATGATGATAATGTTCTTGGCCAACCTTTCATCCATGTCAAAATCATTCATCCTCTGTGACAAGTTTTATTCTTTTTAATTTCTTTATGTTCACTGTTTTTGGTCATCCATGACTATAGAAGTGGCGCAATTGCATAATTATACGACACATTTTCAGACGTTTTTGGACTCCCTGTGGATATCGAATCAGTCCATTTTGTTTTATTTTGAAAGCAAATGCTACGAGTATGACTAAACCAACAAGGCCATGTTCTTGTTGAGAAAGTGATAATTTAATTTAAAATAAGATGTCTTTTCTTAATTGTCATTTGTCAAATAGTGCTTCTTGTTTTACCTTCTGCAGTGACACTTAGGAAGAGGATAGCAGCAGTCTCTGAAAATTTGATGAAGAATACTATGGTCATATATTGCATCAACTTGTTCCTTAACCATGTGTGACGGTCCATTGTCACGAATAAGGCTTTTCAATCACAATTTACTTGTAAGATCACTCATACCGCATGACATGAACATAGCAGTCTCAGGATATACAGCTCCTTAAAGCAAAATTGAACATTTTAGGACATAGGACATAGGATATAGGATAACCCAAAAACAAAGTACAACCATATACCATTAATGCTGAAGCAAAGAATTTTTCTGCATAGAAAGATAGGATTTTGAATCAAATTCTTCCAACGATGCAACTTAATAATGAAGTGGTTTTTTCTTTTCTTCTATTCATGGGTCAGAAGATATAGATCTCTCTTCCTCCTCTTTTATAGACTTTAGCCTCATCGAAACTCGACTCATACTTGGCCTATCATTTGATGAGGGATTTAGGCACTGCAATGCTACCTGCAACAAGTTCACCATCCTTTCTTCACATGCACCTTCTTGGATCAAGGCCTTGTCAAAAACTTCAAGAGTCCACTCCTCTTTAACCACTGAGTGCACCCACCTCGGCAAATCAAACCCATTTTGCTGGACCAGCTTCCCAGTCAAAAGCTCAAGAAGAATCACACCAAAACCATAAACATCATCCTTGAATGTGCTATATGCATGGCCTGCATTAGAACTTTCAATTCCATTGTTTGGAGAAAGGAATGACTGGTCTTGATTTTCAGTCTCCATTACCCCATATTCACTGATGCAGGGCTTCATGGTCATGTTGAACAAAATGTTCATGGACTTGAGGTTGCCATGGGCAATGCCATCTTCACGTAGCTCCTGGTGCATGAACGCCAGTGACTCAGCAATGATGTCTGCAACATTTAGTCTGCTTCCCCAGTCAAATATGTGGCCATTTGAAGATCCTGTGACCCGAAAAATGATGCAGACAAATTATCAGTAATGCTACTTTAGGAACTTTCATGTCAACAAACTTATATCCACTACCTTGTTCTGTCATACCATAATGCATCAAGGTTTGAGGAAAAACAAAAAACAAAAAAACAATTACTGTTGCTGACTTGCTACTAATCCAACCATGGATTCGATATGTAGTTTTTTGTTGGATGTTCTGTACTACAAGCCTACTTAGCTAGGCCTTCAAATCATCTGAACATTGAGTTTGGGAGTAAATAAATTCTAAGTTTCATCCTTTCTTTTTGATCTTTAGTAATTTTATGTTGCATTGACTTTCTTTTAACTGTGAAAATCCTCTGTGTTTCAGTTAATCATTTCTGTATCTCATTGGTAAATTAGATCTACTCAAATTCTAAAATATATGTATTTGTAGCAAAAATTAATATAATCAAGATTCAAGCTTACCATGAAGAAGGTTAAAGAGATTGCCATTCGGTTGATATTCATATACTAAGAGCTTCTCTTGTCTGGAACAATAGAATGCAACTGCTGGCAAGACATTTCGACATTTAGCTTGATTGATCTTTTTCATCCTAGTCTTGAAATCTTCGCTTGAGATCCGACAATTCCTGATCCTCTTCACAACCAAGTTAACCCCATCATCAAGCATGACTTTGTAGAGGCTTCCATTCTTTCCTCTTGCAAGCAATTCAGCTGGAGCTCGAAGCAACTCCTCAAAACTTAACCCCATCAGCAATGGATTTATGAGAACTACAAGCGGTGGAACCATTCCAGTTTCAACAGAGGTTAATGAGTACTCTGCTGTCTTAGGCACACCATCAGCCTTGAACTCACTAGAAGTAATAGTGTTAGGCACAGTGCTAGCAGTATCAGCTATTGCAATCTTTTCATTTCCACCCTTTTCCTCATGTTCTCTGGTCCTCTTTTTGCTTATAAATTTATACACAAAGAAGCATACAAAAACCAGGCCAAGTATTATGTAGCCTGAGAAGATGAGAAGCTTTTTAGATGAGGACTTGTTTGATTTCTTCTTTGGCATTATAGATGTTGGGACAGGTGGGCAGGTATTTGGTAGTGGTTTTCCACATAGCTTAGGATTACCTGAAAAGCTGTCTTTTGTGAGTTGGCCTTTGACATCAGGAATTGGACCACTGAAGTTGTTGTTGGAGACATTGAACACCTTCAGATTGGAGAAATCAAAATCTGGTATTTGCCCATCAAGTTGATTGTTTTGAGCAAGGAAAGATATCAAGCCTGAAATCTTTGGTAGATCAGGAAGCTCACCATAGAAGTTATTGTTGGATATATCAATCCTTTTCAAATTATTTAACTGTGAGAGAGAGTCAGGAAGGTCACCAGAGAACTGATTTCCACTTATATAAAAGTGGGTCAAATCTCTGCAATTTCCAATGTCTTCTGAAAGCAGACCAGATATTTTGTTGTTCTTCAGACTCACAACACCCAAAGACTCTACCATGCAGAGAGAACTTGCATCAAGAACTCCAGTTAAATTGGACATTTCAAGAACTATTTTCTTCACATAATTCTGTTTATCACATGTCACACCCTCCCATTGGTCTCTGCAGGGGTCTGAACTCATGTTCCAACCCCATTTGACATCTCTCACTGAATTTCCCGGTGAAAGTTTGTCCATGAATTGCACCAGCACTTGCTTGAGTTGCTTCAAGTCTTGGTCTTCTGAATTAACCATTGGAATGATGAGAAAGATCAAAATGGCCAGTACCCAAGTGGGAAAACGATTCATTTTTTCTTATTTTTATGTACAAGTATAGTTTTTTTGGTGGAAAATGGCTCTGTGGTTTTGGTTTCCTCTTTATGAATTGGGCTTCATTGATGGAAGTTGCAAAACAAGAAGAAAGTAGCAATGTTGAAGTTTGTTGCTGGAATATCACTTGGTGCCAATTGGCTGATACTGACAGAGAGTTTGAAATATTCTTTATGGTTAAGGTCATGTACCATAAGGAGCTTGCAGAATGAGCCTCACACCACACCGCACTATAGCCTGTAACAATTCTAAAATAATATGTGCCGGCAGTTTACGCAGTCAAATTTTTGATGGCATGTCCTTCTCAATAGCCTTTTCTAGAATTAACAGTGTGTGATATAGTGACTTGTAAAGACCCTCCAAGGGTGGTCAAGATTCAACTTTGCCTTCTCAGACATCAAAGAGTAAAACCCAGATAAGTCTTTTTACCCTGCAATGCCTTGTTACAGCTCAACGCATTACCCAAATAGACTGCAGAGTAGGCGTTTTTGCAGCAAGAAAGGTAACTTTTGGTTCAGTAAAATGGAGTGCTTTTACCAATGGCCATCACAAGTAACCAAAAGAGGTAGCATAAAATGGGCTCAAAATCAAATATTTTAATCTGGCTTTGAATCCTATTAGTGGGTTAGGTTACTTGGTCAAGGCAGTTTGTCCGCCCCATTGCACTCGAATTTGAACCCTCTTTTCGTACGTTAGAATAGTTTAGAATATCAACCTTATAAATAAATAAATAAATAAATAAAATTCTGGCTTTGAATCCTATTAGTTCCCTAATTTCTGAATCAACTTTCACATACGTTTATGTGGGTTAATAATCCTATTCGTCCAAAAATAAAATGTGGGTTGATAATTTCTTAAAATAGGTTATACATTAGTCAACCAAGCATGGATGTGCATGGCATATGGCACAAAAAGGTATCACTCTCTCCCTTAATGTGATGCACGTTGGACAAACACATAATCACTAAGCTTCGTTGGTCCAGTCAAGTTGTAGACTTTGAAGTGTTTAAAATAAGTATATGATTATATTCTAAATTGATTTCATTTGATTTTCATTGGTGGTACTGCTACTTTATAGCTGTTGTTTATATATATCTTGTTAGCCGGATGTGGTCTCTTCCAAAATCCTGCTGCCTCTATAAAATGACCCAGAAGAACTCCACTTGTCCCAAAAATAATTCAAATATTATCCAAATATTTTCAGATCAATACATTTCCTTTCGACCAGAAAAGGAAGAAAATAGATCAGCATATTTCCCTTTATAAGTTTTTGTGAGTCTTTCTTGACCAAGACAAATAACCAATGGAAGGGTCAAATTTGAAAGAGCACATAAGATAGATGTGTCTTGTGTTTCAATGTGATTCTTCATAACATTAAAAAAATTCAGTGACCATTGACCAACATCAGAAGTAAATTATTTGACATAATTCATGATATTTTTACAAGCAAAAGGAATCTAGTCATACAAATATCGATAGTAACATAGTTTAAATGGTAAACATGTAATGGGGGATTTTCTGCTGAAAAAAACCCCCCCCCCCCCCCCCTGCACCATCAGTTCACTCTATGGGTCTGCATGTCCGGCAATATCATCGTCGCTTGAATCACTTTCCTCATCACTAATGTTTTCATCACCACTCTCCTCATCTGGAGTTGAATTGGTAATATGCTCCTTCTTTGCATATCGCTCGCAGTACTCTGTGTCCACAAATCACAGTGGAAATATAGATAAAGTTCTAAAATTTTAGGGATTGTTTCCAATAATTTATGCATATTTATTGAAAAAGCGTAGATTAATTCTAGAGTAAGTTTTACCTTTCACCTTCTGATCGTAGAGTTTTCGGTCCTTCATCATCAACGATGCTGCATCGCCATTGAGCGGATCTGAAGGATTTGGATAGAGCAACAGTTGTGGAAGGAAAACTTCAAAAACATTTAAAAGGTCTGCATCAAGAAGAACCATGGCTATATATGTGAGAAATCCAAGAAAATCCAGATGAGAAAAGAAAAGAACAAATGTGAAAACAAAAACACAATAGAAGAGTGAAACATCACTGACTCATAGAAGAGAGTCCAGATATACAAAGCCAACGTATTTCAGCAGTGTATTGCAAAATGAGACTCATAATTTTTACTAAATTGGGCTGATAATTACCGAACATTGGACTCCATGATTGGTTAATTACATCTAAGCACACAGAACCAGATCTGCAATTACTCGGGAAAGACAAATCAGTCAGGTCATAAAAAATTAAAAACCGATAACCAATTACTCAAGTTCCAGCCGCTTACTAGAGAAATAAAAAAGAAAGTATGTTGTCAATTCCACAAACTTATTCAAAGCATTTGATAATTAGCAGCAGTATTACACCATTCTAAGTAAACTTAATGCTTCTGCCTTTATTTGACCCAATGTGCAGGGTACTAGTAACAATTAGAACTTAAAAGATCCTAGAGAAGATAATTCTAATCAGATGTAATGAGAAGTGATTTTGCTTTTCGAACTGCAGAATACTCACAGCTCATCAACATTAGGGTGGAAAATCTTGTTGATGAAGCCAATAGAAGGAGATTTATATGGATACGCATCGGGAAGCTCAACGCGGATTTTCCAAACCCCGCCTTCATAAAGGCCTGCAATGCAACCACCGCATCAGACAGAGTATGTTATACCAAAATGCATTTTAAACAATGTCTAAACGAAAGCTATTAAAGCCTCAGCCAATAAAAGACTAGTGGAGAAAAAGGAAACATTAGTTTCCAAAACACATTAATCTAAGAGCAACCTCTAATAAAGTCTACCAAAAGACAAACAAAGATGAAAAACTTTCCAAAGTTGAGCTTATGCCACATTCGATTATAATGTGCCTCCATTCACGCACATAAAATCATATAGGGAACTCTATATAATGAAAAAGTATAAGGATGAGTGCAAGACAGTACTTTCTTTTGGACCATGGAATTCCACATTGAATTCATTTAGCCCATCGTTTATTGTCTCCACATTATAGTCACTCATCATCCTGAAAAACATTGAAAAAGACAATAAACATAGCTTTATATTGTACCAGAGAGGAAGGCAGCAACATGATTTAAAGTACTTGTACCAACAAGACTACAGATACCCCTTCGGTATACCAAAAGGGAGGAGGAATCCAGTCTTAAGAAACATAAGACCCAGATTACAAAGGTTGGAGATAATACAGTAACCAACAACTTACAACTTCATGACATCCATCTCTCTCCTCTTGCTTGGAGATGACATTTTAACTTAATAAAATTAAATTCCCAAACCTGTCAGAAATATATCAAAGTAATCAACTTTTCAAGGAAACAAATATCAGAGAAATCAAATCTATTAAACCGTAGATTGGTTATACAAATATGGTATGGCGGTTGAAACTGAAACAGACTAATACATGAGAAAGAAATAACACTGACCTTCTGGAAATCCACAAGATTCTGCGAAAATAAATGGTGAAGTAGAAGCAGAAGTAACAGAAACCTCAGACTTTATTTGATGTCCAAAACCAGGATGAAGGGAAACACATATCTGTAGAGTACAGAGCAAAATCAGTTCAACCTACACAAGTTCAAAAGTCTACTTAGTCTAGGGATTGGCTTTCACAAATCATCACCATCATAGAATAGGATCTACATAACATTTTAAACCATGACCAGCCTAGTAATATGTAAAACTGCATTTTTGTTAGCAACTTTTATATGCAATGGATGGTGCAGCAGGAAGAAATCCACCTCAATTAAAACTTAAAACAAACCAGAGATTTTCCATGCATTATCTCAACAGTACCGATTAATAGGGACAAGAAAGTAGACCAAAAAATAAATATTTCAGAATTTAGAAATTCCCCTAAGTGCAATTTAAGGTCACCAGACCATTTTCCAGCTGACAAATGAAGCTTCTCAATACACAAATCAATGCACATGAACTAACAGCATAAATTAGAAAGCTGAGCCACAAAGAAGCCTTCAAACACTGCTTTCATGAAGTATTAAATAAACAAATATTTTGTTATATATCCTAATAGCATATTAGCATCATACGACTATGACATCAGATTACAGAATCTAAAGGCATTGCCCATCAGATGTCTCCACACCAAATACAAACTAAGGCCTCTCCTTAAAATGGTATGTGCCTCCGCTTAAAGTTGTTACATAACACTCTACAATCAAAATGACTAGTTCAACTTGTATTGGTTGGACAACAAATCAGTTCCTCAGCCTCTAAACTGACGTTTAACATTCATCATTCACCATAATCGAGAAGCCTGAAGTTTGCTCACCCCAATCCAATATAGTACATTTCCAAGCTACAAATTTATCATAAAAAAGTTTGTATATGCAAGCATACTTGACAATGGATAACAAAACTAGAAATGCCGCTTGATTTTACAGACAAAGAAAAAAGATCATATCATCACACTCACAGGACAATCTTAAACTCCACAACAGCAATTAAATTTGCAATGATTCATCACAATATGAATATGATCAGAGAATGCAATGCCACTGTTTTCTCCACAGTATGACCCCTCAAGAAAAATAAAACTTCGAGCAAGTGGGTTCAATACCAAACGCACTAGAACATTCCAATCTTTATTCTTTCCTTCTTAACCATTTCCCAGACATGCCCAGTTTGAGGTTATAGCAATTCAACCCCTCCCAAACCAAAATTAAAAATAAAAATTAAATTTTGTAAAAAATGCAAAAAGTTGTCATGAAACCGACACTGAGATTTTGGCAATCAATGTATAAGTGCAGCAAAGTATAACATTTAAATAGAAGCTGCAATCGTATGAAGATCTATGGCCTAACCAGACAACCATAAACAAAGAAAAATAAATAAATAAATAAATAATTTGCTCATTCAGATTGCTAATAAAGAAAAATAGAGAGGAGGGCAACTGGGAATCTTACCAGAGCAACTCATTTAACGGGTCGACCCTTTGTCTTGCCTGATTAGAGATTCGCGAGAACCAAACAGAAAACGAAGATGGGAAATTGAGAAATTCAATTGGAGAAGAAAAATGAAGAAACTACGGGTAGAGGGTGAAAGGAAGAGAGAGTTGGGGGGTGAATGTCATTGTCGACATGTACAGACGCACGTGTTGAAATGATAATGTTATTACGTGGCAAGCAAGACTTGAGGTGGTCTAAAATTAAATATGGTGCCTAAATAATTTAATCAATTAACAATTACCAACCAAAATATTTTTCTCACCACTTTAACCTAAGGTGTATGCTTACATCACCTTTTTTAATACTTTACACATGTCCACAGTTATAACTATAGTTAACTTTTTACTTTGATTTACGTAACCATGGTTATACTTATAGACGCGTATCAAGTGTTGAGCATACACCTTAAATTAAAATAGTGAATAAAAATACTCCCACTAAAATAGTTAAAAACTTTGTTTTCCATGTAAAAAAAAATTAGTAATTTGTTTTGTAGATTCTTTAACCCCCATTAACTTTTCATATCCTGATTTGTTTGAGTTGTTAATAATTTGTTTTGTAGATTCTTTAACCACCATTAACTTTTCATATCCTGATTTGTTTGAGTTAATCTTTTTCTTAATTATACCATTATTCAATGATAAATATGGTGACCATTTTCATCCATAAATTCTGCATGTTAGGGGTTTTTATTTAGAGGTTTTCTATTTAAACCCCACACTTCTCTTAGTTCACCCCATGTTCTAAGTTCACTCCAACTTTGAATTTGAATTTTCACAATTTCTAAGTAAACCCTACTATCTTCCCAAACTACCCTTAAATACACCCCAAACTGAAAAAATAAGAAATAAAAGAGATTTTCTATTTAAACCCCTTCAAGTTTCAAACTGATATAAATTGTTGTTGCTTCCTATTCTTCCTTGAGTTTTGCAGTGCATTGGTTCCAACCTCTGAAGTGGTTGTCAATGAACAAGTAGAAAAGGAAGAGGAAAAGGGGGTCGAAGAGTGGTCGTCAATCAACAGTCATTAGGAAGATTGAAAATTCAAGAGTTGGTGCTAGTTCTTCCAAGACATCAAAAGACAGCATGACTCCTCTAAGAACTCCAACTACGGTGTGCCTCCCAATTTCTTTGAATTTTTTCTAAAAGCATCTCCAAAGATTTGCAGTTTTTCCAACAGTGCTTACTGCTAAAGAGTTTATCTTTGGAACTGCAGGTATCTAAGAATGAGGTGCACAAGCGTTGTACAAAAATTCACGTTACCCTATACTTTCTAGAGAAAGAGAACAGTTTTACTAAAACATCAGGTATAAATTTTAAATCAAAAATCAAAACAATCAAGCAATCAACAACCAAGAGTACCCAAAAAAAAAAAAAGCAATCAATGAAGGGAAGAGAATAAGATCATTATAGCGAAACAATCAACAAGTGTTTCCATCAGCTTCCGCGCAAATTTCAAAGAGGTAGGCTCGTCAATATTCTACGTCTTTAAAAGAGAAAATTAATCTGGCATAGGATGTAGAAGAGTTTGTATTTTTTTTTTAAACTTAATTTGAAGTGTTGTGGGGTGTGTGAGGTGTGTGTATAGATATATTAGGGTTAAGTATTAAGTTGGATGACTTTTTTTGTCTTTTTATACAATAATAAAATTTACAGCTTAATGATTTAAGTATTGGGGTGAACTAAGAGAAGTGTGGAGTTTAAATAGAAAAAATCTTTATTTATTATAATGAACATTTTAATTTTTGGCCAAAAAAAAAATTAATTCCTTAAAATAATGGGAAGTGCATTTCGAATTAGAAGCAAGGGATATTAATTTCTTGTCAAATTATAACCCGAGAGTTTTAATCAAATAGTGGAATGAAATCTGTTTATACCATATTTGACCAAGCAACTTTAGGCAAAACAAAAAGTCCCACATTGGAATATTACAAGAAGTGAAAACTCTCCCTCACCTATAAAAGGAGACCACTCTCCACTTAGGCATGGATCTCTAAACTGGGGTTTATCTTTAGTCATGGGCTTCCCCCTTCTTCTCTTTATATTTGGATCCAATCTCATATACAAATGTAAATACACATTACTATAATAATCAGAATATACTTCTCCGTAGACATAGCCCATTCATTAAGGGTGAACCACATATATTTTGTCTTCTGTATATTTATCGCTTGCCCAAATCCTCACACACTTGGTGAAGGTCCTCACATTCACCCATCATCCATCACACTTCATCACTAAGTTGGGCTCAAAAGTACTGAACCATTTTTTAGCGTCAACAGTTTGGCATTGTCTGTGAAAAACGACACAAAAGGCTTCTGTCGTTCTCCATTTCTTCAGTGCCCTTCGGCACCTTTACAATCAGTGCCCTTTGGCACCCTTACAATCAGCATTACCTAAGTTGTCATTCGGCAATCCCATATTTAAGCAATCGTGAGTGCCAAGAGAGTGACATGCAGAAGAGAAATCCTTGCAATATAATAGTCAGAAGAAGAGGAAATACATGGGCCACCTTAGCTTTTCTTTACATGCCTTACCATTCGGCATATTCCTTAGAAAACATTTTTGGAGGGAGCCCACATTACATACTTTACTAAGGAAGGTTGCCAACATACATGGCGAATATCAAAATGGTAACCACCATAAGGCACTCAGCCATGCAATTACATAAAAAGCTGAGAGAGTCCTATCGTACAACACCATGTCAAACAATTGATAAAAATATCTAAGCCTAGAAAGTCTCCTCATCGGCAACACTCACACATATGGGCTAAAGCAAATGTGATGTCAACCTAAAAAGGTGTCATTGGCAACGTGTTGTCGACAAAACATCCATGTCCGCCAAACAGCAATACAAGCCGAACAGCTCTCACTCTGTCAAACTCAAGGCACCATCAATAATAACTCTTACCAATCTGTCAAACCATATCTACATGTTGGAAACTTTCTCAGGACACCCAGGGTGTCTTCATAAAACATGGGTGCCCCCATCCGATCGGTAGGCAAGCGACAAATTGCAAAGGACAGTTTTCATATCTGCTGAACGGCAAGGTTGACAACGAATGGGACTTTCAACATCAAAACTTCTCTTCTCTACCAAAATCTTTCAAGCCATCCAAATGTTCCAAACGACATTACCGTTCGGTACCTCCAGCAAAGAATTTTATCAGTACACCTATGCCTTCTTGCAAGTGCTAAATAACAGGTATTTGATCGGTGATTCATGTGCTTGATGAAGCTAACGCATCTTCAGCCCATCACTAGCATAAATTGCCGAGATGTAATAGAAATCCAAGGGGCTACAGGAATGCAAAATTGTAGATCAAGAGTGTCGAATTCAAGCTGTCAGTTTTGGAAATATTCTGAGGTTAACAAACGGCATCCCATGTGGCTCCATGTGCATGCCAACTCCCCATGGATCTCTGAAGTCAATTGTCGAACGGTAATTTCCGAAATTACTAAACCCATAAACCAATTTTCATGGGCCCACCACAAGTTGAATTCCGAACCAGGTGGTGGCAACTAAATTTTGCAAGACACAACCTCATGGTTTCCTTCTCAAAAGCACCAAGAGTACAACACGACATTCGGCACCATTTACCTTGTCTTTCGGCAGCTAGTACAGACATGCCTATTCGGCATTTTGCATCATTTGCCTTCAACACCCTGCTGTTCAGCAGAATGTTTCAATCACTGACAAAGTGACCGCATTGCCTTTCGGCACATAAGCATCATTACATGCGCATCATTGCCATCGACACATCTACATCATCATCATTGCATCATTGCCTTCAGCACATATGCATCATCATATAAACATGATTGCCTTCGACACGTATGATCATCCATATTTACATCAAAGAAAATCCAAGACTATTAGCCATCCACAATAGCCATTGGTAAAGATCATTGGCTTACATGCCAAAGAAAAAAATCCAAGCCTATTAGCCATCGGCAATAGCCATTGGTAAGGATCATCGGCTTACATGCCAAAAGCAAAAACCCAGGACTATTAGCCATCGACAATAGCCATTGGTAAAGATCATCGGCTTACATGCCAAATAAAAAAATCATAGCCTATTAGCCATCGACAATAGCCATTTGTAAGGATCATCGGCTTACACGCCAAAGAAAAAAATCCAAGCCTATTAGCCATCGGCAAAAGCCATTGGTAAGGATCATCGGTTTACATGCCAAAAGCAAAAACCCAAAACTATTAGCCATTGGTAAAGATCATCGGCTTACACGCCAAAGAAAAAAATCCAAGCCTATTAGCCATCGGCAATAGCCATTGGTAAGGATCATCGGCATAGACTCCAAAAGTAAAAACCCAAGACTATTCAGCCCAGGGACCACATGAGCCACCTCCATCAAATAAATGGCATATTCATCATCTGCTACATTTTAATATTGGAAGGAGTAGACATCCATTGGGATCAAGGAATCCAAAGGGTAGCCCACATGGCCCATTTTCGTGAGTTTGTGGCTTAGGTGTTGTTCAACACCTGTCAATTGCCATTCGGTAATTCAATAGGAATACCTATACAGTGGCCAACGAGCTATGGGATCGGCATCATATTGTCCAGCACCACCAACTTAACTTGACTGAATTTCTTATGGCAAGTCATCATACACCGACACAATAAAATCTCCCATGGCTATCGAAGTCCATGCTCTTGTGTAGAATCAAAGCCCTTGGTTATGCACACCATGCCAAAGAACTACTCAAGACACCCAACCCATGACAAAGATTTCATAAAAAAGGTTGGAGTTCCAATATATTTCTCTTAACTCTGTTGGAAACAAATAGAGACACATGCTCTTATCTTTCGAAGCAGCTGAGCACATGCGTCTGCAAAGGCACCAAGTGAACAACCCCTGCGCCAAAGCTATACAAAGGGACTTGTCCCACTAATGGCAAATCAACTACCGTTCGGCACCGCAAATTACAGCCTTACTAGGCTACCTCTCATCTCTGCTAAAATTTCTCAAGTGGACAAACCAAGAGTGCCGAACTCAAGTTTTCAATATTCCGAGGCTACGAATCAGTATCCATGCCGCTGGCTTTCTCAAGACACCCATGCTTTGTCTTATCTGCAAACAGCAATTCGTTTCCAAACGATGATGCCATCAATTCAAAACAACACCAAACTGGTCACTCTGTAACAGAGAAAAAAGGAGAAACGACCTTGGTACGCAACTCATCGAGTGAAAGGCCGAAAGCATAGCTCCACCGCATCCACATGGATGCGGTTTGGGAGCCGGTCGTCTTCCCCATCATGAGCTACGCTTTCGACAGCCGTCATCCTACCGTTCGGGAAGTCGACAATCGAGGTCAAATCACCTATATCAGATTTGCGATTCACTTACCATTCGGTAGGAAAGCAAAGCGCGACATGCCCAGCAGCAAGCCACAATCAAGCTGTCAGCCTCCCACCATGGTTTCCGATCGGCAACCTCGGATAGTCATAAACTAGAGGAGCTACTTCTCATCGGAATATTAACCTGTCATTCGGTAGGAAATAGCTTCCTTTTGCAGAAGCATCACAAAGCCCACTCACAGCCCCCGAGTGCTTTAACAAACGGTACCTCATGCGGCTTCGAGTGCAGATCGACCTTTATTGGTCTCTGAAATCAATTGCCAAATGACAAATTCCAAGTTCTCTCGTCAAAATTCCAAATGGCACCCAACTAGTGAATTTATCAGGACACCCAAAGAGGATGGGTTCATCATCAGCAAGCCCAATTGCCAATCGACACCCAACCTTGTACATCTCTCTATCTTCCAACCATTGCAGAACCACCATCTTCAAACGACCGCTAGGAGCTACCTTGTTCTCGAAGCAAATCAACTTACCAATTTGTATGGAAATCATGGAAAAATATTGTACAGTGCAACAAGGGAGACAAGCTCCTCGTGTTTCTAGAGTGAATCACCGAACTGTGGTTCGCTACCTTATATCACGGCAACAAAGACTCCAACTCCAAATTGCCTACACAGCTGAAGTTTGCAAGACACATCAATAATCCACACAAGGAGGTCAAGCTTCTCCCACGTACCTTCTTGGTGGGGCCCATTTTGTTTAAATCCCATTTTGGATGGTTTCTCAACCACTTGGGTACGTGGGGTATTTTACATACTTGAAGCTAGCAGTAACGTTCTCAAGCCCATAAATCCATATTTAAGGGCCCACCACAGGTCCAAATCAGAACCATGTGGTAGTCACCCAAACGAAAATTCGCAAGGCACAACTCACTGTTCGACAAGATGCAAACTTAAAAGACTGTATGTCCTTCAGCAAACACTACCATACCTGCTTTTCGGTAATCAACATCAAGATTATTGGAGAACTCCTTTCCGCAGCTTACATCAAGCTCTTCGGCAGTGTAGATGGTGCACTATACGGCTTGGAAGAAGACTAAGGTGTTGCTCGGTCAGTGCACTGAAAATTACAAGTCCTCAATCAAAAAGTACCTCCTTACTTGAGAACTTGGGGGATTTATATTTATACCATATTTGACCAAGCAACTAGAAGCAACTCTAGGCAAAGCAAAGAGTCCCACATTGGAATATTACAAGAACTGAAAACTACTCATCACCTATAAAAGGAGACCACTTTCCACTTAGGAAGGGATCTCTAGGCTGGGCTTTATCTTTAGTCATGGGCTTCCCCTTTCTTCTCTTTATATTTGGGTCCAACCCTATGTATAAATGTAAATACACATTACTATAATAATGAGAATATATTTCTCTGTGGACGTAGCTCATTCATTAAGGGTGAACCACATATATCTTGTCTTCTGTATATTTATCGCTTGTTCAAATCCTCACACACTTAGTGAAAGTCCTCACCTTCACCCATCATCCATCACACTTCATCACTAAGTTGAGCTCAAAAGTGCCGAACTATTTTTGAGCGTCAACAAAATCAAAACGAGGATTATGTTATGCTTAAGATTAGAGTAATCTCGGGGATAATGATAAAGTCAGGGATCGTAATCCCCGAATTTTGATAGGATTTGATGTCAATCTCCTCCTCTCATCAAGATGATAAAATTCTAATCCTTGAAAAAACACATTCGAATGAAATGGCACATATGAAGTTGCAAAGAAGAAGCTCTTTTTTTTTTTCTTTTTCTTTTTTTTTCTTTGCTTCTTTTTTGGTAAACCCTCAAAAACCGTACCAACCAAATTGTCATAAGAACCTTCACAATTTGACATGGTTTTGTTTTGGTAAACCCTCCAATATAAGAGTTTATTTATTTAGCGCAAGCTATGAAACTCACTTATCAGAGACAAATAATTGGTTCTACTGCCTAATTTTGCTTCAACATGCATGAAACAACAAAATGTAATTGTAAGAACGAAGGGAAATGATAACGTATAAGGCATAAATAGTTTAACTAGATTTTTTCCACGGATTCTCCCCGTAGTAGTATGCAGAGCCAACCATAAGCGCCACTGTGCCACCTTGGGCAACCACACGAGCTCTCATTAGCTTCTGCCCCAGCTGAGAATTGCCTTGCCTGAAACTGATCAAGCCGGCCGTGAGCACGCCAGCAGTCAACAACGCCCCTGAAAAGTTTAATTCTATTGGTTAACTGAAATGGATCACATAAAGGTCAAAAACAAAGAAGCACAAGATCATCAGAATGCCAGCTTAGCCATCTTACCGCATAAAACCAACCCAAATCACAGCTTTGGAGTTGGAAAATAATCTGCAAGAGTGATTTTGAAAGAGCAGAAAGCAGAAAGCAGATCTATTTGACTTCATTCAATTCTCAATCCTCAAACTTTGCAGTTAAACATTTACCACTTAGGGATACACAAAAGAAAACATTTTTTAACAAGTTCAAAGGAAACAAAAAGAGGATCCCTAAAGCCTAGAACTTAAAATTACACTTTGCATAACTCATCCTCCTCATTCCTTTCCCAAACCATGAAATCCACCATACACGCATCTCCAGTTGTTATCTCTACTACCACAATTTTCTAGGACCTACGCGATTTCAATCTCACCATCTTGATAGCATTTCAACTTAGCACACTAAGACAACAAAGAACAATAGTCTACACCTGATTAAACATCAAGTTAGGTGCCAGAAAGGTAGCCACATCCACCGATTACACTAAAAACATGAGTCTCATAGCTAACCTTCTGCAGGTCAGGACCCTAACAACAAAGGAACTGGTATCATATCAAAATAACAAAACTTTCTTGCATCTTGCTACGAGACATGGTCTCCCCTGCTCCACTGTAATATATACTCAATAAACCTTCTTTTTCAAATAAATACATACCTACTGCTGGTTACTAAGACAAAACGCCTGAAACTTCTCCAAATCCGTATACAAGACATAGGGGACAAAGAATTTATGAGAAGTTTAGATTTGAAACAAAACATTGTCTTCTTTCTACCTAAATGGCCAACAAATCAATAAGCACACTAAACCAGCCCATACTTAACGTCCACCAACCTAACACAGATAAGAAAGAGCTACAATTTCTACTAGCCTCTGAGCTGGGGCACAGGCTTCTGAAAATTGAACAAGAGTTCAACTATAAGTTCTCTTAACTATTGAGAATTTTATCATTTTACTAATTAAGTTAGTTTAACTAGAAATTCTCTCAACTAAATGCAGTTAATTAAGAATCCCAATTATTAGTTTTATATATCCCAAATCCACCAAAAGATCAAACAATACGTCAACAAAACTCATCAAGCACCAAACTTTACAATCACATATATACATAAACTTTAAAGGATTGATAAAAATGAATCACAGAAAACAAATTCTAGCAAATAATAGTAAAGGAATCGAAATGGGAATTACCAACTGGTACCCAAGGGTTCCTAACCCGCTTCTTCTCCTCATAGAACACTTCTAAAGTGGGCTCAACCTTCTCCATATCTACAAAATGTGAGAAGCAGAGAAAACGGCTCAGAACCAGAATGAATTTGGGGTCGAGAGCCCTAAATTGGAAACTAGAAGAAAATTTGAGACTAAGAAAGTCAAAGAAAACGAAATAGTAGATGCGTGTCGGT